CGGCCCTGGGAGCGGCGCGGGCGGCCGCGGAGCCCCGGCAGCCGCGCTCAGCGCAGCGCGGCGGTTTCAGCGAAACGGGGTTCAACTCTTTTCGCGCTCGTTATTGCGCTTCTTCCGCTGAACCCGCCGTGCGTTTTCTTTTAGTGGCGTTTCCACTAGTTGTGTACGTTTTGAGCAGCAATTCGAGTGCCCCCTAAAGTGACTATAACAACGTGAGGTCCGTTGCCCGCCGCGATTAAATGCGGTTGATGAAGGATTTCTTCTTTCGCGGTGCTCATTTCCCTAGAGAACTCAGGAAACTGTTTAATAGTTGCTGTTCGTATTTTTTTTTTCCATTTGAGAAAATAAGTAATTTAATTATTTTCCTAGTGAGGCTGGAATTTAAATAAACGATTTTATTTTACATCAAAGAAAACTTCCAAGTTAAAAACTGAACTGTGTTCCCAATGTGTGGCTTGATACGGTTTCTGCTTTTTGCAGAGGTTTCAGGGAAGCACCTCGCCCATCGTTTCTTTGTTTTGTTTAATTCCTATCGGCTCTACTGTGGTGGACACGGACTAGTGCAGCATAAAGGACCAGAAAGGTGCTTTGCAGTATTTTATATCTACTTGCTGGAAATATAATTTCTGGACCATTTAAAATTCTGGAAAAATTAAATTTGCTATTGTAAAGTATGAAAACACCAGTTAGCATCAAAATGCTGTTTTTAGGTGATCAGTAGTGAGTACTTGCAATGCCACATTAGTTGCTCAGATTTGTTAACATAGGCTTCAAGGAATGAAAAAAATAAACATATTGGGGCTTTCTCCTGAGAGTTTTGGTAGCTGCTGAGATCTGGGTGCTAAGGAATTCTCACCATCTGGGTTACACTGAGCACGACCACCTCCCTCCCCAGAGCAGCTCCCAGCAAGGAAACAAAGACAATCAATCCTCTTCAATTCCTTTTATTCAGATCGTGTTATTCTGGTAGTTTGGAGTTCAAACTAATACAGCTTATTGCACTTACCGGAGAGCAGCACAAGAGAGAAAAAAAAATGAGTACAATGTTTCAGTTTATTCCCAATGAAGAATAAGACATTGTGAGAGTTGTTGCTCTTCTTAAATATATGAAACCCACTGAAAATCTAAGTATATGTACACAAGATTTATTAAGTCCCTGAATACGCCATTTGTAATTTATTACACAGACTTTTTTGCTTTCCTTATGTTTTTACAGAGATATACAATATGTCACACACAGTTTGAGCTCAAGAAAATTTTGCACAATTAGACCCCAGCTATGAGGTTGGGTTTCACTTTTGTTTTTTGGGAAGGACCACACAGATTTTTGCCAATGGTCACTCAGATAACCTTTTTAGGGATTGAATCCCTGCTCCCCACCGATCTTGCCAGAATGTTGAAGGAAATACAGATTTAAAATATGTCTAGAAGAAGAAAGCCGTTACAGCATGACAGAGGTTAAAATGTATATATTGCACGTTGTACATAAACGTATGGCAATAATGCTTTCATCCCCCCCCTCTCCTCCCTCCCTTCCACATTGCACTTCTCGTTCCCGGGGGCAGGCAGCTCGCAGCAACCTAACTGTATTCATAGTCCGAGCAGTCCTCCTCCGAGCCCGCTGGGTCTCTGTGGTAGGAGTCCACACTGTTCTCTGCTGGGTCACCCCCAGGGTGTGGGCTTTTGCCCTTGCCTTTGCGCTCCTCCATTTTAATGGTGTCGTAGAGTCCTTTAGGTGCTTCTTCCAGGAGGATATTCCTCTCGGAGTGAGAGGGTTTCATCTGGCAGACATTTTTGAGGAAGAGAAGAACAGGGGCATAAAGCACATTGGCGAGCCCCATTCCCAGGTTGAGCTGCACGAAGCCCATGGTGTGCACAATCTGGCCAGCCACAATGGGCCCCAGAGCATATGCCACGGAGTAGGAGATGTCTGCGATGGCGTAGATGCTGCCATAGACGGACACGTGGCGCACGTCCACCAGGAAGGCCAGGGTGGGCAGCAGGGCCGTGTCCACCAGAGCGATCCCAAAACAGATGCCGCAGAGGGGGATGACTACCTGCCCGAAATTCCTGCAGGCCGGCACCATGCAGGAGCTGGCGCCAATGATGGCCATGCCAAGGGCCCCATAAAACCACTGGAGGTGGGGGTACTTGGCGGCCAGCCTGACGGTGACGTAGACACCCAGCACGTGGGGGAAGAAGGCGGGCAGCCAGGTGAGGCCCATCTCCCACTCGGTGGCTCCCATGGACTCCTTCATCCAGTTAGCGATGGTGGGCTCCAGGAAGGCAAGGGGGATGTTGCAGGTGGTGAGAGCGCCGGCCACCACGGCGATGTACGGGTCAGCCATGAGGCGGTGGATGGGGGTGCCAACAGGCATGTTGGCTCGCGCACTGCCGGCGCAGGGTGGCACGAGGACAAGCAGCAGCAGCCCGTCGAGGAGGCAGACGCAGGCGAGCACCAGGAAGGGCACCCGCTTGCCCGCAAACTCGTAGAGGACACCACCGAAGGGGGGTGCCGCAAGGCTGCCAAAGGAGATGAAGGCGAGCGCCGTGCCCAGCGCACGGCTGCGCGCCGGCTCCTCGCCATAGCGGTCGGCGATCATGGCGATGCCGGCTGTGTCGGCGAAGGCCGAGCCCAGCCCCTGCAGGCTGCGCGCCGCGAACAGCGTCGCGTAGTTCTCAGCGAAGGCGAACGTGGCCGTGGAGAGGAACATGACGGCCAGGCCAATGAGCAGCGGCACGTCGTAGCCCACACGGTCGATGAAGGTGCCGCTGAGCGGGTTC